TGTTGTGGGGATTTAAACCAATAAAAAACTTAAAGTACTTTATGAAGTGTAAAAGCCTGTAGTAAACTTAATAAATGGTAGCTATCATTATTATAATAATTTTGGTTAAAGATAGTCGATCAGTTGTAAATCTACACACATTATCAATATTTGAGAGAGAGACAGAAGTAATTGATTTTGCATAGGAGAGTCTAGGTAGGCTTCAATGAGGCATCAAGCAGCAGTCTTGAAAAATGAGCAAAACTTCAATATAAAGTGAAGAGAAAAATGCTTTAGGGGAAAGAAATGAATTTAGTATCTAGCATATTGACTTTGAGATCTTTACTGACAGCTGAAATTTTTTTCTGAAATTATTAGAAAGATTGAAGTTAGAATTGGTTGATTACTACTAAATCAATAATACTAAGATCTAAAATCACAATAATAGGCTAGAATGTCAAGAAAAAATTGTAGACTGAGAACAGGCAGGGATAGGGAGTATGGAGATTTAAAAGACTAATAGAAGGGGAGTCGTTGAAGGCAGAAAAATAAGCAGAGATGAAGGAAGAGGGCAGGTTTAGAGAAAACTGATTTGTTCAAACAGGCATTGAAATGGAGCCTAAATCCCACTGGAGAACAGAGAAAGTCACTCAGATTTAACTTGGTCAGCAGTACAGTGCAATGTGCAGTCCTCAGGGTCAAGATCCACCTGGATTCAAATCCTCCCTTTAACCCTTTCTAGCTGTGTAAACCTTAAGTAAGATATTTTTCCTCTGAAATCACAATATTCCATGTGTTTAAAATTAAAATAGTAGTATTTGTCTTGTAAGACTATTTTGAGTTTAGAATGGACTAATGTATATAAAGCACTTAGGAAATTGTCTGGATAAAGACACATACATGTGTACACCTGGGAAGATATAAATTGGTCAATGCAAACTTGATACCGGAGAAAATAATAGAACAATCATCAAATTACTTTTCATCACTCAGAGGACTCCTAGATATTGTGTAACAATTCAAGTTATATTTATGAACAAATAATGTCAAAGTCAGACCAATTTGATTTTCATTCTTTGAAGAATATTAGACCATGTGGGTAAGAGAAAAATAAAAGATTGAATACAGCTGAACTAGCTCAGTTTTCTGTCTATCTCCATGACATTTCTATGGCTAGGCTGCAAGGAACTGTTTAGTTCAGCATGTCCCCATAAGAGTGTTTTATAGAAAGTTATTGAATGGTCCATGAAGCAAATAAGTTTGGGAAACATTGGGTAAAATAGGTTGCTTTATTGTAGAACTTTTCAATTGTTTCTATTATAGTAATGTAATATGAATAGTCAGTATAGTGTACAGCATTTTTCAGACTTATCTGGCCATGGAGTGCTTTTATGGGTCATAGAATATAGCCAGAGAAGGAGAGGTATAGCTATGATATTATCTTTGCTGAAGTTATGATTCCTACATAGTGATTATTAAGTTTTTAGCATCTATATATAGAAAAACATGTGTTATTCCATAGGGATCAGAGTTTAAAGAGTTATTTAGTACTTTTATTCATGAGCTGGACAATGGGGAATCAAGAGAATCATAATTAAGCACGAAGTTGGACAGAACTGCTATTACTTGGAAGACAGAAATAAAATTCAAAGGACATCCAAAATAGAATTCTATCAAAAAGGAATGATCAATAAGGAGAAGAAAAATGTCTTTTCTATAAAATACAAGCTTTGTAGAAAAAGAAAGAAAAGATTTTGATATACATGTGCATGGCATTAAAAGTCCAAGAAAACACACTGGTCTTGAATAAAAGCATGATGAATAAAAATATCACAAAAGTTATTCTGCCTCTGTCAAGTTTATTGTCATGAAAAGCATAGGGAAATGTGGTGTGTCTTACAGACTGGGGTGGCTATATTTTAGGGTGTTGGCCTTCTGCACACTTCTGCTTAGCTCTGCATGTTTCATACAACAGTGGTCTTGAACTGCTCTAGAATATAGGACCTCCAAAGCCAAATGACTCTCAGCAAGGTCCCATCTAGGGTATCCCTGAGTGGTGGGCTGAGTGTCTTGGGGGATAATCTTGTCATTCCCTGATTTAATGAAGACCTCCTAGTTGTTTTGTTAAAACTTGTGAAGGTGAGCAGACACTGATCATCCTAGATGAAAAGTATCCTGGTTACTTGAGATTCTGCTAAATCTAGAGATTATCCAGGATGAGTGGCATTTCTAGGTCCCCGAAGAGTTGATTTTGACGGACCGGAAGTTGTAACTTTTGTGTTCTTATGTTAGGCAGTGATATATCCTAAGTATCCCTCATAGATAACTGACTTGTAATGTACCCATTAGAGTCATGTGAGTGTGTGTGTGTGTGTGTGTGTGTACCTGTATGCATATGTGTAAGAAAAAGCCAATATGAAGTGAGAATCATAAAACTGCTGAAGGTCCTGTGCTTGACTGGGAGTACCACACTAATGATTTAGAGGACTTCCAGAGCAGGCAACCAGGTAAAGGACATGAAAACATTAGCACATAAGAATTGGAGTTGATAATGTTTAACCTGGGTAAGAAATAAAGCCAGGATCAATATACTTCTTTTACTACTTAAAAAGAAAAAAAAAAAAGGTTCGATAAGAAATAACTCTTATATCAGTTAAAACTGTCCAACAATGGACAAGACTGTCTTATGAAAAAAAACTAAAAATAAATTATTTTTTGAATGCTTATTTTGTGACAGGTGTTAGGCTAAACACATTACATGTGTTAGCTTAGTCAACCGTCTAAAAATCCACATGAAGTAATAACTGTTATTATCCTCACATTAGAGATGGGAAACAGTGTTGGAGAGGTTAGCTTACTCTTGAAGGTCACATAGCTAGTAAATGGAGAAACTGGATTCCACCCTGGAGTCTGTGCACTAAACTACTAAATTACTTACTTCCATCCTCAGATGCTTTAAAGCACAGTCTGATGTGTCAGAGATTTAGTCAAAGGAGTTATTCCCATTGCAAGACTGGACCACTGCAGATCTGCAGATAGTTTCTAAAATCCTTCATCTAATTTCTGCCATACTGATGATTGGAATATTGAATTTAACCCCTTTGGACACTGGGTCCATCCATCACCTGTCTATTTTAACATCAATGAGGAAAATATCCAAAAAGTCTAGAGAAAACCAGTAAAACTAAGGGATAGGTGGACAATTGGATGTACAAGGAAAACTGAAACAAGTTTCATTCCTTTGGTCAGAAAGTGACTTGGTGATCTTCAATATGCAAAGGATTTGGGGTATATAAGTCATTTCCATGATGATTACAACAGGAAATCAGTTTCAATGAGAAAGCTTGGATGAAACAAGAAAGCCTTTCCAGTGAAAATGTCTTGAAATAAAAACTCGGAAGTACACTTATGGGTAGAAGAACAAGATCATGTTAGAATAGAAGCTGATGCCTTCAGCAGCAGCCTTCCCCTGCTGCCTCTCCAGTGGCCTTGGCAAGTTGACCTGCCCTGAGGATGAGCCAGAATGCCAGGAAGTGTTTGTGAACTTCATTCTCTTCCAGCCTTTTCCACTAAAGAAGGAGCAGACATTAAAAAGGAAATCTGAGTCATTTTCACTTTAGGAAAGCTTTAAACTAAATTTGACAACTGTGGTCATAGGAGTTCTTAGGTGGCCAACCACAGGGTACTGCAACAAATAACTTTGCAACATCCCTTCCAATTTCATGAGTCTATGGCCCTCAACAATTGAGGAAAGGCCACAGAGTTTCCATTAATAAAATCACCTTTAAACATCAACATTTCTGCTCAACAGAGCATTCATGTATTAATTTTAGGAGCAAGAAGTCAGTTTTTTTCTTTAACACTGAAAGCAACTGAATACCCTTACAAAGAAGGATTTTTTTTAAACCTTTTGAAGGATTTCTTTCTGTTTCATAGACATTTTATCATAATTTCATGCCCCCATACTTCATGGCTTGTTACTTGGTCCATTACTCTTACGTTTAACTTGATAAGGTCCTGGTTCCTGTGATATGAGTTCTTAGGTCTGGTTTCTCACAGCTGCTGCTTTGAAGTGCCTGATAACATTCTTACCCTTCTGTGGTACCAGTGGATTCTCAAGTTCTGATTCTCCTGTGCTCACTGTCCTGCTGCTTCTGTTAGTTCGCGCTGAATGGGGACATTCTAATCTCCCCCTTTCTCTACTTTTTAAAGAGGGCAAACCTTGGGATGTTGCAGGTAGTTAATTGGTCCATCCATGGAACTGGGCAAATTATTCAGCAAATAATCATATTTCTCTGTGAGCATGTCAGAGCCTGTTGTCCTATGGGGAATCAGGGATTTCAGAGGGGGCACACACATGGTTTCTATCAACACAGATAGTGCTTGCACTCTTTCACATGTGTACAGAAATATTTTTTTCTTAATATGGTCCCCACAGGCCTACAGTCATGCTATTTATCCAAAGGGGGGCCTCTATCCACAGGATCCAAAGCAGGTATGTTTCAATTGCTGGAGTTTGGAAACAGCCAAGCTTTTCACAAGACAAAGTTAGGGCCTCGCTAAAACTGTAGCGGGAAAAAAATCTTCTGGACAAAGCATCTCTCAGGATACTGAGTAGGGGAAATGGGGCTATAGACATTCAAATAACTTCTGTAAATTGTTTATGGCTAAGATTAAGTTAGAGCTGACTTTTCAAGGCCTTTGATATTTTAATAGGAAATTAATTTGGGGGAGGAAAAAAATCACCCCTGTCTCATCCACTTAGAAAAAAATTCCTTCTATGATGTCAAGTATCATTTCCCAACACATTTGATGTGAATGTTAGATGACTGAATTTTACAGATGATCAGAGTGCTAAAAGATGTCTACATGAGGTAAGATAGGGACGGAAACTTTCACTGCACTTTAAAGAAGAATGAGACAACTGGTAAGAGGAATAAAATCACAATTGTAAGCAAAATTGAGAGGAACTATCACCTCATTGTGCACAGAATATGCTGTTATCAAGCAAAGTTACTCACAGGTATTTGCAGTGCCTTTGGGGATGGGGAGATAGGAGCCTGGACTCCAAGGTCGGCCCTGATAATTCTTCTTGCATTTCCCACAGTCTGGACCTGTAGTGTTGTGCTCACATTCACATGTCAGTTTGCTGTTGTCATACACACACACAGTGGCATGGAGATTACACTTGCACCTGGGCAGAGGAGAGACAAAGAGTTCATTGTCAGATAAGTTGGTCTCGGTGACCACCGAGGCTTTCCTGATCTGTCTCCAAGGGTTGTGCCTCTCAAACCATGCAGTGCTTGAGTGATACACAGAGGCATTTGGTAAGAGAGAGATTTGCAGGCCCAGCCCTCAGAATCTTCCCAAAAAGAACCGTTTGCACGGGGCAGGGTTGTTACAGTGCAGTCTGTCCTTAATACTGCACGTTGAGAAAGCCGAGTAGCAGTCAGGTCAGTGGGGGCCTAAACTCCTGCAAGGTAACTGTGCTCCAAAATCAAGGGGGTTCCCAACAGGTTCCAAAATACTGTCATTTAGGAAAAGGTCTTTTTGTGATATTAACAAATCTATGACAATTTCATCTGGGCTTCGTTTGAGTTTAAAAAACAATGTTATCATTTTTCTTTAAATCGTTAAGACAATTCTTATTTGTTTAAAAAGGAAGATAACCATTAAAATAATTTGCTATTCAGACTTATTCTTAGAAACCCAAGAAATTATAATCAAGTGTTCTCATTTTGCACTCTAAAATGACATTTCCTCAGATCAGAAGAGATTTTCCACCAAGGCCGCTAACAGACCCGAAGGGAGGTGAGATAGTAATCCTCAGATATCCCACTCACAGCAAATAGGGAATCACAAAGGCCTCTCAGAAACAGGCCAAATGACTCTAATAAAAGATGCCTAGAATCCTAAAGAAGAAGAAGAAAAAAAAAAAAACCTTCATGTGGCAGGGTTTTGAAGTCATTAGCCAAGGCCTGGCCTTTGCTGCCTATGAATAAAGCCATGATATATGAGAGGCAACAATGGAATATGCAATTTCCACAAAAATACATCCCAGTGCTCGAGGTATCTGACTATAAAATTGCAATGGCTAACCTGGTATTTGTTGAGGCAGCAGAATATAAACTGTATCACACTGAGCACGAACCATATCCTCTGGAAAGGTAAAACCTACGTTGACAGAATGGCCACAACCAGAGGTCAGAATAATGTATGTGAGAAGAGATGGTCCACACATAGGAGAGAACCTGGGCACCCAGGCTGGGGTGGGTAGAGAACCAAGATAGGTCAGAATCAGAACCAGAGAGAAAGAGAGACTGTGTGTGTGTGTGTGTGTGTGTGTGTGTGTGTGTGTGTGTGTGAGAGAGAGAGAGAGAGAGAGAGAGAAATCTGGCCTCTTCCAGGAACTAGGACAAAAATATAGAAAATCAAGTTTCATAAAGACCAAAAAATATTATGGTATTTTTTTTTCTCTTGGGCCAAATGCCATGAACTGGGAAAAAGAACAGAATTCTCTTTCTTAGGTAGGAAAATGAGACTCCTTAACAACCATGTTGGCTTCTCTAATGTCTGTATAGCAATGGCCAAGTTTTTCTTTAGTGCATTCATAATCTGTTTGGAACACTGACCCATACTTATGACAAGGAAAAAAATGAATGGTTAAGACTGTTACTGAAAGCTGTTGGGCTCTCTTTTAACAAAAAGGTGTAGTCCTAAAGCAACCACCATCTACGCAAACCTGTCTGGGAAGACCGAGCTACAGCTTCCTCGGGGCTCTATTACAATGTTTAATACTTCTTGCTACAATCTGTTCTCTGAGTACTTACGAATTATAATAAGCTTGTTCCACTTAGACACATAAATGTCACCTTTGAAAATGAACATTTGTATATTCTTTAAAAAGGTAAGATAAAAAATAATTCAGTTAAATAGGCAATGTTTAATTATGAGCTAGGTCCTATAACAATCTCCTATATGCAGGGAATCACTTGTGCTAGGTTGCTTATTAAAGAATCTTTCTCCTTCCAACATTAACACCTTTATTTATGGGTGTGTTTATATATACGGAGGATGTTTAAAACCTGAGTGATAGAAGCACTGACTTATACTGATTTAGCACCATATCTGGTGTTAAAAATTCCAAATGAGGAAATTGAACAATGTGATCCCAAAGAATACGCTGGTTTCATGCGTGAAGACCAAGAATGCAAGGAATAATTGTAAATTGGATTATATATCTTGTAACTGTTAATACTTTCATTCTTGTAGTCACTCTGAGTTACAGGCAATTTCCATTCTCAGGGCATTATATTAGCTGAGAAGATATTCTTTGAATAATAAAAGGAGGTAAAAGGAGAATAGATGAATGTTTAGTCTTATTTTTTCTCAGATTTCTTCCAATTAATGGCTCATTCTCAACTGTCCAAAAGCTTATTTATCATTCAAGGCTCAACTCAATTCATAACCCTTATCTGAAATCCATCCTGACCACTGTACATACCCTGAGCTCTACTCTTCTGATTTCCTTAAATGTGTCCATGTGCTTGGATTGGTTGTTACTAAAGGCTTTTTGTACTTATAAATTTTCTCACTCATTGCACAATTCTCTCCCATCTTAAGGTGGGGAAATACCTACTGCATGTCTGGTCATCTTTTCCAGCTACCTCCTAAGCCCTCTCCCCTCCCTTCTTGAATTTCCTATACTTGCCACCTCCATTCTCTTATCTTCCACTAACTCAGTCTTTCCAAATGGTCACAGCCTCCCTTGCCAAATCACCCATGAACTCCTTGTTGAAAATCCAATGGATACTTTTCCATGCCTTATTTATTTCCTCAGGGGCTGGGACTCTGGACCACTCCCTTTCCCCTGACACTCTCCCCTCTGGATACCCAAGCTCATTTTCAGGAACCTCTTCAGCCTGTTGGCTACACATGCTGTTCTCTGGGTTCTGGCCCAGCACAGCCAGCACACTCTCTCTGTGCACTCTTATCTAGTCGTCCCTTCAATTTTTGTCTGCACTTCTTAACTTCCTTTACGTTACAAACCTTTTAAAGCAAATTCACATCATCTCCCCGACCCCAAATAAACATATTTAAAAGAAGCTCAAAATGTGAAAACATTTAAGGAGATTTGGAGATTATCTGTTACCTACAGGGGTCAATAGAGCCCCCTCCCTCCGTTATACCATGTGAAGAATATCTAATCAAAATGCTGGTAAGTCTGGCCTCTGTATCTCCATCTCAGATCTCTCTCAGGCTTCAGACTTACTCATCAAAATGCCTCCTGAACAAATCTAACTCAATATGTCCCCAAACTAAACTCTTTGACCTCCCACCTCTCCTGTTCTTCCTTCTGTGCTCTCTGTCTTAGAAAATTGTACCATTTTCCACCCAGTTAGTCAAGAATGATGTATCCCTCTCCTTTTCCTACCACACCTAATCTGGCATTACTGAGTCTCTCACCAAGCCCTGAGATTCCTCTTTGCTATGGTTTAGATATTTTGTCCCTTCCAAATCTCATGTTGAAATGTGATCTCTAGTGTTAAGAGAGGGACCTGGTGGGAGGTGTTGGAGTCACGGGGACAGATCTCTCACGAAGGCTTAGTGCCCTCATTGTGGCAATGAATGAGTTCTCATGCCATGAGTTCTTGCAAGAAATGGTGGTTTAAAAGAGTGTGGCATCTCCGTCCCCCATTCTTGTTCCTGCTCTTGCCATGTGACATGCCAGCTTCCTCTTTGCCTTCCACCATGAGTGGAAGCTTCCTGAGGCCCTCACCAGAAACTGTGCAGATGCAGGCATCATGTTTCTTGTACACAGACCACAGAACTGTGAGCCAAAATAAACCTCTTTTCTTTATAAATTACCAAGTCTTAGGTATTCCTTTGTAGCAGTGCACATGAACTAATGCACTCTTCCTTGATTCTCTTTCAAATCCTTACAATTCTAGCAACGATCACTTTCTTAACTGTGATCATCGTCTTTGATCTGGTTTATTACAACAACTTCTAAACAGAATTTTGTGCTCCAGGCATGCTCCTCTCTATCCAATCACAACACAATAGTCAAAAAATTTTTTTACACAAATATATTTTGGGTCACTTCTGGAACAGAACCATTGTAAAATTTCCCATTATTTTCAGATAGAGTCCAAGCTCTGTAACATGGCTTATAAGTTCTTTTTGCAATGTATCTCTTGCCCCTTTTCCAGCTTCATTTGTACCACTCGTAACTCTTCACTTAGTTCTTCAAACTTTGCCTTCAAGTACTCTTATAAGCTGTTTCTTCTGCCTACAGCATTCTACTCTCCTATTCCTACCTCTTTGATCAGGATAATTCTTCCCTTTATATATTAAACTGTATGTCAGTGGCTGGCTCCTTTTTGGTATTCAAAAAATATCTGCTGATTAACTATCTGAATGTTTCTATGGTCCACCAGGATGCCTTTTCTGTGTGCTCCTATGACATAAGGCAAGGCTAGTTGCATAATAAAGCCCATACTATCTCTACTATAGACTGTAGGCTGTATTTTAATTGCTTATTCTGTCATCCTCACTAGAGGATAAGTTCCTGGGAGGTATCAGTCATGTCTGCTTTATTTATTGTAACATCCCTAGCGTGTATTGCAGTTCTTGGACATAATAAGTGCTTGAAAACTTAGATGATCAAGACAAATGATAATAAACAAGTAAGCTTCCTGAAAGCAGGAATGTCATACGTGTGTTCTACTATGTCTAACTTGACAATGGACTAATTAATGAAAAATTAATAGACATTGTACTAAATTAAACACTCCATGATGTGTCTTGAAAGCTGCCACATGCCCTCATTGTTGGTTTTCATAACTAATATTACATTGGAGAAAGGAGACTCTATGAAATTTGTGAGATATCATAAACCCTGTTTAATTTCATTTAAACTCCGGGGGATTTATCAGATGACTGAAACCCAAAACAAGAGCTTTGTAAACAATGTTTGAAAGACCTAGGAAAAGAACACAGCTCAGGGGAGAGAAAAAACAAAGTATTTGCGTAGCATAATTATTCTGAAATGTGCCTTTTTTAGCTTCAATGTCTCATGCAAGGATGGCTACCCTGGTCCAGCTGAAGTTGGAGGAGGGGCATTGCTTGAATGTTGGCTAAAACTGTAACTTCACATCTGGTGAAGTTTTGGGTTGTCTTTGCTTAGTCACT